ACGTCACCACGACACTTGTGCCAGGCCATGTGCACCTTGAGGCCACGGGGCAGACCCAGGTGCCACGGGTCGACTGATTAAGATGACTGGCTGATGCACCACCTGTGCCCCCTACTGTGCCAACCCGCTGTGCATTAGCCACCCGGCACTCCGCTCGTTGTTGTGAGCGTCGCTCCTGCGCCCGCCGTTGTTGTTGGAGGGCAACTGCCTCCAACTGCCCAGTAGCAGCGTCCTTCACGAGCCTCCTCCACAGAGGCCGATCTTGACACCGCTGGTACCAGTCATCGGCAAGTCCACTCAGCTCCACATCCTCCTGTACCACATCGCTCCATCTCTTCTCTATCCCGTGACACGCCTGTTTAGCCCCCTCTATCCGGCCGAACAAAAGCTGTTTAGGCATGCGGTGACTTGGCATGCGGGCTACATGGCCCAGCCAACGCAGCCTTGCCTGCCGGAGGAGCTCACCGATGGGACTTTGTCCAGATCTTTCAAGGATTTGCGAGCTCCTCACACAATCCAGCCTGGTTAAACCCAGGATGGATCGTAGGCAGGCTAGCCTAAATGTTTCGAACCGGCGAAGATGCTCCATTAGGGGGGTCTACGTGACGCACAACAACAATAACCGCCATTCGCCACTAAGTGGCGGTGACGTCACTACGACGCTTGTGCTAAGCCATGTGCACCTTAAGGCCACGTGAAGTGTTGAACGCCCGCTGGCAGGAGGTCACGGGGCAGACCCAGGTGCCACGGGTCGACTGACTGAGATGGCTGGCTGATGCACCACCTGTGCCCCCTACTGTGCCAACCTGCTGTGCTTTAGCCACCCGGCGCTCCGCTCGTTGTTGTGAGCGTCGCTCCTCCGCCCTCCGTTGTTGTTGGAGGGCGACTACCTCCAACTGCCCAGTAGCGTCATTCACGAGCCTCCTCCACAGAGGCCGATCTTGACACCGCTGGTACCAATCATCGGCAAGTCCACTCAGCTCCACATCCTCCTGTACCATATTACTCCATCTCCTCTCTAGCCCGTACTGTGCCCGTTTAGCCCCCTCGATCCGGCCGAACAAAAGCTGTTTCGGCATGCGGTGGCTGGGCATGCGGGCTACATGACCCAGCCAACGCAGCCTTGCCTGCCGGAGGAGCTCACCGATGGGACCTTGCCCAGATCTTTCAAGGATTTGTGAGCTCCTCACACAATCCAGCCTGGTTAAACCCAGGATGGATCGTAGGCAGGCCAGCCTAAATGTTTCCAACCAGCGAAGATGCTCCATTACGGGGGTCCACGTTTCGCAAGCGTAGAGAAGGGAGGGAATGACCGTGGCCGAGAAGACCTGAAGCTTAGTGCGGAGCGACAGACCAGGTAGCTTCCACACAGCGTTACGCAACCGATGAAAAGATATTGCCGCTCGACTGATTCGGAGTGAGACCTCTGCTGTTAAACTGGAGACGGTCATAAGCACACTGCCCAGTTATGGGAAACTCTCCACTCTCTCCACAACTGCCTCATCACCGATTGGGAGTTGTGGGGGTGGAGTGTCCGATGGTACAAAATACCCAGGCAGGTGTTTAGGTTTGGTGGGGCTGATGGTAAGGCGCCATCTCTTAGTGGCACGCTCCAGTCTCAGCAGCAGCGTCTCCAACTCCTCCTCTGAATGAGCAGCTATTACCAAATCATCGGCATACATAACGTGGTTGAGCAATAGGGAGCCATCCCTTGACCGCACCCGGGCATCGATCAGCCTCCCATTATATCTGTACCATATGGAGATTCCCCCGGTACAGCTATTGAGGGCTTCACGAACTACGTGGTCAAAATAGATGTTAAATAATGTGGGAGCCAGAGGACATCCCTGTCGCACCCCAAGGTGTACAGGGAATGGCTCTGACTCCCGGCCACGTAGTTTTACCCGGGCCCGCTCACCATCATGAAGGTCCTTAATGATCGTGAGCAGAGGGTCAGGCACTCCAAAAGCACGAAGAACGACCCAGAGGCCAGGCCTACTGATGGTATCATAGGCCTTGACCAGGTCAATAAAGCAGAGATGTAGGTCTTGTTGGAATTCCCTACACCTCTGCTGTAGCAGATGGACAGAAAATATGGCATCTGTGCAGGACCGCCCTTTCCTGAAACCGCATTGGGGCTCCGCAAGCCTCTCCTCAGCGTGCCTGGCAAGGCGATGCTGAATAATCCTTGCCAGGACCTTTCCCGGCACACTGAGGAGTGAGATGCCCCTGTAGTTGTTACAGTCTGTGCGGTCCCCCTTCTTAAAAAGGGGGACCACCAGGGCATCCTTCCAATCCTGCGGAACCCGTCCAGTGGTCCAGACTGTTGTTATGATGTCATATAGGGCAGTCTGTGCACAAACGCCACCCTCCCTCAGAATTTCGCTTGGGAGATCATCTCTGCTCGTTGCCTTTCCTGGTCTCAGACTCCGGATCGCCCTCAGTACTTCCTCAACAGATGGCACCTCAGCCAGCCACTCACAGGGGGTGACTTCTTCCAATATTTGAGGCACCGCAGCCTTAGCAGGGTCATCCTCACTTTGTGCCACGATGTTTTCCTGGCTGAAGGATTTTCCCTCCCCCAGGACCTCACAGAAATGCTCAGAAAATCTGCAAACCTGTTCCTGGAGGTCGGAGATTGGATCACCGTTTTTTCCCCTAATGATGGTAATAGGTGTGGCGCTGCAGGTTACTTTTTTGATGGAGTTAAATAGAGATTTGTGATCACGTGCCACTGAGGCAGACTCCATCTCCTCAGCAACCCGCGACCACCACCCATCCTTGCAGCGCCTCACGGCTCTCCGAACCTCTGAGCGAAGGCTGCGGTAAGCCTCCTCATTCTCTGACGTGGGATTCTGTAGCCGATGACAGTGGGCCTGTCGCTTTTTCTCAACCATCCTGAACACCTCCTCTGTCAGCCAGGGTCCATGGGGAGGTCTGGACCGCGTACCCAAAGCAGCCATTGCAGCTGCTTGAGTCACAGTCCTAAACCTCGCCCATTTACCCTCGACATCAGGAGGAGTCGGGGACGATGCCAATCTCAGCCGCAAGCGATGATGAAATTCTCGCTTGCAACTTTCATCAGAAAACTGAGACCAGGCCACTTTAGATTGGAATGGGGTCCTGGGTGTACACCCACCACCGGAGTGGAAGAATGGCAGGCGCATCTTACAGATGACTAGTCGATGGTCAGAGGGCAGATCAGCTCCACGGTAGGTTCTGGTGTCAAGGACATGGGCTCGCATACGCTTGTCCGTCACTATGTAGTCCAGCAGATGTTCTTGCTTGGACCCGGCATGTATCCATGATGTTGTGTAGATGCGCCGATGCCGGAACAGCGTGTTGGTAATTACAAGCCCATGGGCTGCACAAAAATCTAGCAGCCTCCTACCGTTGTTATTGAGCTGATCTGGCCCATGCCCTCCAATCACTCCAGACCAGGTGCCAGTATCATGACCAACTCGGGCATTGAAGTCACCCAACATGATGACTCTATCCCGAGGGGCCACTTTAGCCAGCACCTGTGACAGGAGGTCATAGAAGGCATCTGACTCATCAGCTTTGCCTGCATCCCTCCACGGATGTTCATCTTCGGTGGGGGCATAAGTAACCACGACCATCATTCCTCGCCTCCGGTTGATGGGAAGGCGAGCCCAAAGTAGCCTGGGGCTTACAGCTTCCCACACCTCACCGCCACGCTCCCACGCCCCCTTCATTCTTTTGTTCAAAAGAAGAGCCACACCCTGTTGTTTGGCAGTCTGCTGCCCCAAGTAGAGGACTGTCCACCCCTCATGGTGGCAAGAGCCAGAGCCGGTCCACCGGACCTCCTGAATGCCGCATAGATCCAGGCGGTACCGGTCCAGCTCCCGACAGAGGAGTGGCAGCCTCTCCTCCGCAGTGAGCGTTCGAACATTCCACGTGGCCACCCGTAGTGGCTTTTCGTTGTTTCTGGAGGAGCCCCGAGGGTAGGTATTCAATATCCTGGCTCCGCCAATTGGGGTTTGGCCAGGAGACGTCATAGACGCCTGGCCCCCCGGGGCCTCCGGCACAAGCTTATTAGTTACATATTTCAGTTAAAATCGTGGTTTCGTGGTAATTAATTAAAGGTGGAGGGGTTACCAGCCCCTCGCACCCGTCCAGAGCCCCCGTTTAGCCCCTGTGGTGGACACATATGCCATGAGGGGAGGAGCCAATCAAAATTGGATCTCCCCCCACAGCACTGTCCACGACAGAGTTGCCCGTCCGGCACCGCGAGGAGGTAGGGGGTTGTTTTGCCGGACAACACACTGTCACACACACTCTCACACACACTCACACACACACTCTCACACTCTCACACACCCTCTCACACACACTCTCACACTCACACACTCTCACACACTCTCACACACTGTCACACACACTCTCACACACACTCTCACACACTCTCTCACACACTCTCTCACACACTCTTACACTCTCTCACACACTCTCTCACACTCTCACACACTCTCCCACACTCGCACACACACCCTCACACTCTCACACACTCTCACACACTCTCACACTCTCACACACTCTCACACACTGTCACACACACTCTCACACACTCTCACACACACTCTCACACACACTCACACTCTCACACACTGTCACACTCTCTCACACACTCACACTCTCACACACTCTCACACACACTCTCACAATCTCTCACACTCTCACACACTCTCTCACAGACTGTCACACTCTCTCACACTCTCTCACACTCTCACACTCTCTCACCCACTCTCACACACTCACACACTCTCACACTCTCACACACTCTCACACTCTCACACACTCTCACACACACGCTCACACACTCACACACAATCTCACACACTCTCTCACACTCTCTCACACACACTCTCACACTCTCACACACGCTCACACACTCACACACAATCTCACACACTCTGTCACACTCTCTCACACACACTCTCTCACACTCTCTCACACACTCTCACACACTCACTCACTCTCTCGCTCTCTCGCTCACCCCCCTCTCACGCCCTCCGTGTCACTCAACCGGTCGGTCCGGTACCTGAAGGCTTTTAAACGCGGCTGCCGCTGTTGGTGCATCGCCCAACAGCAGCGGCTGCCTCGCCTCTGATGCGCTCTGCTCGCAAACCGCACAACGACAACAACCACCACAACCACCACCACAACCACAGCAGCACAACAACATCGCTGCCGGTGTCCCTCGCCGTCTCCCGCTGCCTCCGTCGATCCGTGACCCGGCCGCCGTAACAGCGATCGCCTTTACTCGGCAGCAGCAGCAGCAGTAACAACAACAGCAGCAGTAACAACATCAGCAGTAGCAGCAACAGCAGTAGTAGTAGTAGCAGCAGCAGTAGCAGTAACAACAACAGCAGCGGTAACAACAGCAGCAGTAGCAGCAACAGCAGTAGTAGCAGCAGTAACAACAACAGCAGCAGCAGCATCAACAGCAGCAGTAACATCAGCGACAGTAGGAGCAGCAGCAGCAGCAGGGAGAGTCGTTACCGGCTGGGCGGACTAGAATAGCCTCGCCTGCAGCTGTTAGCGCTGCTGCTGCTGTTGGCGGTGGTGGTGTTGTTGTTGGTGGTGGTGGTGGTGTTGTTGTTGTTGGTGGTGCAAACACCGCCCAGCGATGGATCCCGCGAAGGATGAGGAGCAGCAGCAGCAGGAGGAGGATGAGAGCGACGTGATGGGAGCTGCCGTTGTAACTCGCCAGTCGCAGGACGATGGCGATCACGCTGAAGATGGTGGTGGTGGTGGTGATGATGGTGACGACGGTGGTGATGGTGATGATGGTGGTAGCGATGGTGATGATGGTGGTAGCGATGATGATGATGACGACGAAGATGAAGAGGCCGATGATGGCGATGATGGCGATGCTGGAGTTGACGAGGGCGATGCTGGCGAGGCTTCGACAGCGGCGGTGGGAAAAGATGTGCAGCCTCACCGACTGTGGTGAGCGGTGGTGTGGTGAGCGTTGGTGTGGTGAGCGTTGGTGTGGTGAGCGTTGGTGTGGTGAGCGGTGGTGTGGTGAGCGGTGATGTGGTGAGCGGTGGTGTGGTGTGGTGAGCGGTGGTGTGATGAGCGGTGGTGTGGTGAGCGTTGGTGTGGTGAGCGTTGGTGTGGTGTGGTGAGCGGTGGTGTGGTGAGCGTTGGTATGGTGTGGTGAGCGGTGGTGTGGTGTGGTGAGCGTTGGTGTGGTGTGGTGAGCGGTGGTGTGGTGAGCGTTGGTATGGTGTGGTGAGCGGTGGTGTGGTGAGCGTTGGCGTGGTGAGCGGTGGTGTGGTGTGGTGAGCGGTGGTGTGGTGTGGTGAGCGGTGGTGTGGTGTGGTGAGCGGTGGTGTGGTGAGTGGTGGTGTGGTGAGTGGTGGTGTGATGTGGTGAGCGGTGGTGTGGTGAGCGGTCGTGTGCTTGCGGTCAGAGCGCTCCGAACCCGGCGACCCGAGTTCGATTCCCACCCACGACCACCACCAGCAGCACCACCACAACAACAGCTGACAAACACCCCCCGTGTCGCCTCGAACAAGCGAGCGGCAGCAGCAGCAGCAGCAGCCGCCACTGATGGAGGCCGGGCAGGGCACACACACACACGGCGCTTGGTGGTGTGGCTGACCCCAGCACGCCCCAGGCCGCCTTCGTCTCTCTGCTGTTCTGTGTTTCCCCGGGGCCGATGTTAAACGCAACACGCACCGGGTACTCATTTGAGGCCGAGTCGACCTAGGGGAGGCCCAGCAACGGTTCAGATAATCGTCACTGTTGGTGTTGGCCGTGAGCGGGAATCGAACTCGGGTCGCCGGGTTCGTAGCGCAGCGTAGCGCTAACCACTACACTACCGCTCCCCACCACACACACAAAGTACCACATATACACACACACAGTACTATACACACAGTACTATACACACACAGTACTACATACACACAGTACTCAACACACACAGTACTACACAGTACTACACACACACACAGTACTACATACGCACACACAGTACTACATACACACACACACAACCACATACACACAGTACCACACACACACAGTACTATACACACACAGTACTACACACACACAGTACTACACACACACACAGTACTACACACAGTACTACACACACAGTACTACACACAGTACTACACACACAGTACTACACACACACAGTACTACACACAGTACTACACACACACAGTACTACACACAGTACTACACACACACAGAGTACTACACACAGTACTACACACGCACACACAGTACTACACACAGTACCACACACACACAGTACTACACACAGTACTACACACAGTACTACTACACACACAGAGTACTACACACAGTACTACACACGCACACACAGTACTACACACAGTACTACACACACACAGTACTACACACACACAGTACTACACACAGTACTACACACACACAGTACTACACACAGTACTACACACACACACAGTACTACACACAGTACTACACACACCCAGTACTACACACACACAGTACTACACACACACAGTACTACACACAGTGCTACACACAGGCACAGGCAAAGATCACCCGTATATCCTGCGTAGACTGCCAGGGCAAGTTGCTGTCAGCGAGGGCCCGAACTGCACACGACAGGGTGGGTGGGTGGCCAGCACCACGCCCGGCCGCCTTTGTCTCTCCCCGTGCGGTGATGGGGTTGTTTTTGTTTTGTTTACATATCGCAGCCTGATCACTCGCGTTGGCGGGGAACAACCCCCCGGCCCGCCTTTGTCTCACTTCCAGTGGCATTTGAGGCCGAGTTGACCTTGGGGAGGCCCACGACTGGCTGGGTACGATGCTGCCCGCCACTCCCTGTGCGGGAGCCTCTCCAGCCCCGTCGGGTTAACACGGCCACGATCCGTAACACCCGCGACTCTCTGTCAACATCATCGGCAATTGGAGAGACAAAGGCGGCCGGGCGCGGTGTTGACACGCCCCCCCCTCCCCCCATCCAACCTCGCGGCCTTGATAGGTGCTACTCGCGAACAGCACTTGCCCCAGCAGTCTGTTGAAGGCTACACGGGGGACCTTTGTGTGTTTGTGTGTCACACTTGATGCGTCGTTTGCACAACGTCCCGTGCAAACGTGACGTTCGTGTGCCCAGTTGCCACGCGCAGAGGGGCGGCTGCTATCGGTTACGTGGCACGCGCAGAGGGAGAAAGGAACGCCAACAACGACAAAGCCACCCGCAGTTGTACCGTACTTCTCTGCGCTCCCGCAAAAAAAAAACCATTGCCCCAAAACAGACTCGCTGCAACTTCGCCCGCGTTGACACGTGGCCTCGGGGTGGAGTATCGTCACAATAAACCGGTTCACACGTGGCCACAGGGGTCAAACGTGGCCACAGGGGTCAGACGTGGCCACAGGGTTCAGACGTGGCCACAGGGTCAGACGTGGCCACAGGGTCAGACGTGGCCACAGGGTTCAGACGTGGCCACAGGGTTCAGACGTGGCCACAGGGTTCAGACGTGGCCACAGGGTTCGGACATGGCCACAGGATTCAGACGTGGCCACAGGGTTCAGACGTGGCCACAGGATTCAGACGTGGCCACAGGGTTCAGACGTGGCCACAGGGTTCAGACGTGGCCACAGGATTCAGACGTGGCCACAGGGCTCAGACGTGGCCACAGGGTTCAGACGTGGCCACAGGGGTCAGACGTGGCCACAGGGTTCAGACGTGGCCACAGGGTTCGGACATGGCCACAGGGTCAGACATGGCCACAGGGTTCAGACGTGGCCACAGGGGTCAGACGTGGCCACAGGGGTCAGACGTGGCCACAGGGTTCGGACATGGCCACAGGTTAAGAGATATCCACCCCCGGTGTTTGCCTTTCACAGGCTGTTTGGGGCAAGTGCTGATTTGCCAGAATATCAGCAGCGACCTCACGAAGGCCGCAACGGGACACGAGGGTAGGGGGGAGGGTTGGGCAGCAAACCACTCCCGGCCGCCTTTGTCTCCCTTTGTGCCGATGTGGTTTTATTTGTGTGCGGTCGGAGAGCGGTGGCAGCGGCGATTTAATTCGAGGCGCTGCGCTTCGGCCACCGAACGGGCCGAGTTCCCGATTCCGGCTCGCCACCGATAAAACACGGTGGCTGATCCAGAACCGAAACCAGTGCTGGGCCTCCCCTAGGTGGACTCGGCCTCAAAAGAGTATCGGGTGGGGTGTGTAAAACATGAGCACCGGGTTAGACAAAGGCGGTCGGGCGCGGTGCTGGAAACCCCCCCACCACCCCGCCACACGTGTGCCGTTCCGGCCTTCACATGTGCTGCTGCTGCTGCCGCTGCCGCACGCAAACAGCACTTGCCCCAATAGTAGTCTGTCGAAGGCTATACGGGGAGATCTTTGCCTTTGTAGGGACGGTTTGGCAGGAATTGACACTGCGCCTCCTCACGTGAGTTGGACTTCCCCCACCCACTCTCTCTCTCTCTCCATCTCTCTCTCCGCGCCCCGGGTGGAAGAGTTCCTGCGCGTGGGGAGAGCGGGGAATGTCGCCTCGCGAGATTCCCACCGCACCGCTCGCTCTCTCTCTCTCGCTGCTCACCAACACCACCAACACCACTCACTCTCTCATCATTCTCACTCACTCTCGCTCACTCACCACCACTCGCTCCCTCACCACCACTCTCTCACACCACTCTCACCACCACTCTCTCACCACTCTCTCTCACTCACCACTCTCACTCTCTCTCACTCACCACCACACTCTCACCACCACCACACTCTCTCACTCACCACTCTCACTCACCACTCTCACTCACCACAACTCTCACTCACCACAACTCTCACTCACTCACCACCACTCTCTCTCACTCACCACCACACTCTCACTTACCACCACTCTCTCTCTCACTCACCCACCACTCTTTCACTCACCACCACTCTCTCACTCACCACTCTCTCTCACTCACGACCACTCTCTCTCACTCACCACCACTCTCTCTCACTCACCACCACTCTCTCTCTCTCACCACTCTCTCTCACCACTCTCTCACTCACCACCACTCTCTCTCACTCACCACCGCACTCTCTCACTCACGACCGCACTCACTCACTCACTCACCACCACACTCTCTCTGACTCACCACCACTCTCTCTCTCTCACTCCCCACCACTCTCTCTCTCTCCTCACTCACCACCACTCTCTCTCACTCGCCACCTCTCGCTCTCTCTCACCACCACACTCTCTCTCACTCACCACCACTCTCTCTCACTCATCACCACTGTCTCTCTCTCTCACTCACCACCACTCTCTCTCACTCACCACCACTCTCTCTCACTCACCACCACTCTCTCTCACTCACCACCACTCTCTCTCACTCACCACCACTCTCTCTCACTCACCACCACTCTCTCTCACTCACCACCACTCTCTCTCTCACTCACCACCACTCTCTCTCTCACTCACCACCACTCTCTCTCACTCACCACCACTCTCTCTCACTCACCACCACACTCTCTCACTCACCACCAGACTCTCTCACTCACCACCAGACTCTCTCACTCACCACCACTCTCTCTCACTCGCCACCACTCTCTCACTCAGCACCACTCTCTCTCTCACCACTCTCACTCTCTCTCACTCGCCACCACTTTCACTCACCACCACTCACTCTCACTCACCACCACTCCCTCTCTCACTCATCACCACTCTCTCTCACTCACCACCACTCTCTCTCTCACTCACCACCACACTCTCACTCACCACCACACTCTCACTCACCACCACTCTCTCTCTCACTCACCACCACTCTCTCTCTCTCACTCACCACCTCTCTCTCTCACTCACCACCACACTCTCTCTCACTCACCACCACACTCTCTCTCTCACTCACCACCACTCTCTCTCTCACTCACCACCACCACCACACTCTCTCACTCGCCACCTCTCGCTCTCTCACTCGCCACCTCTCGCTCTCTCTCACCACACCCCATTTTGGGGGTGCCATGGCTCCCACCTGCCACGCACCTAACAAGCCAGATGATTGTTAACCTTTGTGGGTACCACGAGGGCTCGGGGCCGAGGCGTAGCTCGGCGCTGCGAACCCGGCGCCCGGGGTTTTATTTCCCAGCCCGCTCGCCACCACCACCACCACCAACAACGATGACCAGAACCGGTCCTGGGCCTCCTTCCCCAGGTCGACTCCGCCTCGTTTGAGCACCCGGTGTGACGCGTACAACCATCGCCGCTGGGGAGACAAAGACGGCCGGGCGCGGTTTCTGGCCCCACCACCGCCTCGTGTGCCACAGTGCCCTTGCCTGGCAGTCTGTTAATGTCTATACGGGGGATCTTTGTCTGTACGACAGAAGGGTGAAACAGGCTGCGTGCGTGTGTGTGTGTATCCGCCAATTTTCCTTCGTGGCACATCGATCGTATAGGCGACGTTTCGGGCTACGGACTCTTTTTCATAGCACGCAGTTGTTTCGGCTCGGGGTGCGGGGGGCGGTGTCGTGTGGCAAGGCGTCTCTCTCACTATGTGTAGTACTGTGTGTGTGTGGTACTGTGTGTGTGTGTGGTACTGTGTGTATGGCGCTGTGGCAAGGCGTCTTGGGAGGGCAATGAGAGAGGGGATGCTCGTAGCAGCCTCCTGGACGAAAATAACAGCAGGCGGGGTGACGCCAAGGACAAAGGTCCCCCGTGTAGCTGTTGGGGCAAGTGCTGCGCTGTCTGCGAGTGGCACCGAATGAAGGCCGGAACGTCAGACCAGGGGGTGGGTGGCCAGCACAACGCCCGGCCGCCTTTGTCTCCCCGGTAGCGGTGTTTGCTACACACCGCACGAGGTTACTCATTTGAGGCCGAGTTGACCTTGGGGAGGGCCCAGGGACCGGTTCACGTGTTGGCGCCGTCACTGTTATTGGTCGTGCGAGGGAATCTAACTCACGTCGCGGGGTGCATAGCTTGGGTGCGCTCGCACCAACACGCGCGCGGTTTACACACACACACAAACACACACGGTCACACACACGCGCGCGGTTTACACACAAACACGGTGACACACACAAACACACACGGTGACACACACGCGCGCATGCTTTACACACAAACACACACGGTCACACACACGCGCATGGTTTACACACAAACACACACGGTGACACACACGGTTGATATACACACGCGGTCACGCGCACACGGTCACACACACACGGTTTACGCACACACGCGGTCACACTCGCACACGGTTACACACAGTTGATATACACACACGGTCACACACACACACGGTGACACACACGGTGACACACACAGTTGATATACACACACGGTCACACACACACGGTCACACACACGCGGTCACACACACGCTGTCACACACACACGGTGACACACACACACGGTGACACACACAGTTGATATACACGCGGTCACACGCACACGGTTACACACACACGGTGACACACACACGGTTACACACAGTTGATATACACACACGGTCACACGCACACGGTTACACACCACGGCCGTAGCCATGGAGTCAACATTGGGGGGGAACCAAATCTTCCTGGGGGTCCCCCCCCCCCCCCAGAAAAAAATTTAAATTGAAAACTAATTTCCTGCCATTTCCTGCCTAAACTATAAAAAATGCACTAACACATAGGATGGACATTTTACATATTTTGTTTACAATGTCTAATAGTGTATATTGTGTTACATTGCTCTGTTTATTTTTTTCTCTTTTCTTGTTTCATTGTATGTAATGGCTGACATTAGGGCTTAATGAAGTACAACCATAACCACAATCACATAAACAGAAATCTATTTATAGCAATATATATTGGGGGGGGGGGATGTCCCCCCCAATATATATTATTATTACGGCCTTGTTAGACGCACACGGTTACACACACACACGGTGACGCACGGTGACACACGCACAGACACACACACACAGACGGTGACATACACACAGACGCGCCCACTAAGTGCTTGGTAACGCACCTGGTAACTCGCAAACACACGCGGAGCGCTCGCTTTCCCTGGCTGCTCGAGAGCGAGAGAGAGGTGACGACACCATCTCCCTACGTCACAGCTGACGTGGCCACACCCTCGGTCCCGTGACCACCACACACAGCCACGTGCTGTTCCCGAGCGCCTGTTTAATCCTCATACTCGGCAATTAAAATGAATAAATATATAATTGCCCCCACCGCCTAGTAGTTAATAGACCTTGGCCAAAGCTGATCATAATAACGATTTTAATGTATAAAGCGCCATTTTAAACAGTCGTTCTCGGTCACAGCAGATCGGTGACGTTGCCTGGCACCTGCCGCTGAATGCGTGCTTAGTGATGTCATCTTGCCATGCCTGTTGCTGCACGCGTGCTTTGTGATGTCATCTCGCCATGCCTGTTGCTGCACGCGTGCTTTGTGATGTCATCTCGCCGTGCCGGCGCTGCACGCGTGCTTTGTGATGTCATCTCGCCATGCCTGTCGCTGCACGCGTGCTTTGTGATGTCATCTCGCCATGCCCGTTGCTGCACGCGTGATTTGTGATGTCATCTCGCCATGCCCGTTGCTGCACGCGTGCTTTGTGACGTCATCTCGCCGTGCCCGTCGCTGCACGCGTGCTTTGTGACGTCATCGCGCCTTGACCACCATGTTGTCCTGGAGCGCTCGCGCTCCATTGGCTGCGACTCTGTCGTTGGTCTCAGCCGGCGCCCCTCGGCACGCCGCGTCCAGCCGAGCCCACTGGCTTCCCTGATGGCGGCGGCGGCGGCGGCGGTGGCGGTGGTGATGTCTCTGGGGAGCGGTGGTGCAGCGGTAGCGCTGCTAACCGCTGCACTTGGAACCCGGCGGTGCGGGGTTCGATTCCCGCTCACGGCCGCCAACACCGGTGACGATTATCCGAATCGGTTCTGGGCCTACCCCTAGATCGACTCTGCCTCAAATGAGTACCTTGGGCGATGTGTAAAACATCGCCCAACCACACACAAGACCGAGGCGACTGGGCATGGTGCTGGCCACCCAATCCCCCCTTGTGCCGTGCCTGCCTTTTTAGGTGCCGCTCGTTAACAGCACTTGACCCCAACAGTCTGTTAAGGCTAAACAAGGGGATCTTTGCTTTTAGATTTCTCTAACCATAGGTGCTTGTTCACAGCACTTGTCCCAACAGCCTGTTAAGGTCCATAATAAAGGTTTTTTTGGTTAGATCCCGTAAATATAAATGTGTCGTTAAACCCACCGCCACCCGACACAGCCAATTTTGAAGGTTTGTCACTTCAACAAAAAGTGCCGATTCGTTACTAGCACAGCACACCGGTGTGTTTGTCGAGTAAACCCACGACGTTTACCGTTCGTGTACGACGTTTCACCAGTAATAGCAACTAGCATTATCAGGCGGACGGCTAGCCTGTTAAGGCTGTAGGGGGGGCATCTTTGTCTTTGATGTCCCTAACCTGTAGCGTCCGCTCTAATCCGCGTGTACTCCCCCTTGCTGCCTGCCCCTCGACGTAAATTCCACATGGGTGCGTACTTAGTCCCTCCGCTTCCTCTCGGTGCCGTGCGCGTTTCCAACGCCACGAGTGACTTGGCCGAGCCACCCGTGCACGGCCCGGCGACGGGAGGGGAAGGGAGCGATGGAGTCGGCGATGGGGAAACGAGGAGAAAGCGGGGCTGGAGAGGGATACGGAGAGGAGAGGGAACCGATGGAACGGGGAATTCGAGGGAAAAGGATGGGGAAGGAACGGAGAAACGGGAGCACGGGGGTCAGGAGGGATGAGGAGAGGTTGTATGAGGGCCTCGACGGAGGAGGAGCAGCGTCTAAACTAAAACTATCGCAAATCACGGAAAATTATTAAAACGAAGCTACTTATTTTTTATTTCACCAGGTAAGGCCCACTGAGCTGCTGTGTAGCTCTTATTCAGAAGCGATTTGGCCACAAATCATAGCGCAAACGAAGTGGCTTTTATCACCTTGTGGAAATTTATCGCAGCCAAATACTCTAAACGCTTGACATTGATTCTAAATGTGGAGGGTAAACCCAGAGGACCCGGAGAAAAATTCTACACAACCACGGGGAGAGAGACGTGAAAACTCCAAATATGCAACAGGCTTCAGGGTTGGGATTGAACCCACGACCTCCTGCACACCAGGCGAGCTGGTTAACATCTCATAGCCATCGTGGCGCCCACTGCTTTTCACAGCGGGCGGTGACGGGGAGTGGAAAGTCTGACTAGATTCCATACGTCTACGTGATTTTCATTTCTTAATGCACACAACAGAGTGATCTTCAATCGGGACCTCGTTCGTTTTTATTCCCTGCAGTGACCCCGACGTGGCGGGAGAGAGTCGCACCCTGGAGGAGAGTTGCCGAGGTGTCGGGGTGGAGAGTCTGCACCTGGGAGAGAGTCGCACCCTGGAGGAGAGTCGCCGAGGCGTCGGGGTGGAGAGTCTGCACCTGGGAGAGAGTCGCACCCTGGAGGAGGCGAGTCGTGGTTTGGGGGAGCGCCAAGCTGGGGGGGAGAGTGCCGTGCGCTCTCACCGCAGAGTAGAGAGCTTGAATCTGGAGGAGGAGTGGCAAGACGAAGACTTCCCCAGGTACAGCAACAACAAAAACCACACGCGCAGGGTAATCTCGCAATCGCATCCGTACACCGCCAGTCACGGCCAGAGCAGTCCAGAGCGCTGTCCTCTGCGGGGAAGGGAGAGTGGCTCGCCGCGCCCGTCTCGCCGCCTCCTGCCCTCGCGATGTCAACCTGCTTCATGGGATTGTAATTGTATAATAATAATTATAATAATTTAGACTTATGGCACGCCGAACGGTGTTCGCTCATCACCCTCTTGGGGAGACGACGGCTCTGAGAGAGAGAGAGGACGACTTGGAGAGAGAGAGAGGACGACTCGGAGAGGACGACTCGTAGAATGAGAGAGGAGACGTCTCGGCAAGAGAGAGGACGACTCCGAGGTGCCAGGAATAGGAACCGCAGACGAGGAGCGGGAAGGCAGGCACGCTGCGAGCCGCAGCGAACAATTACCCAAGCTCTTTTGTTCTTAGGCAGTTATCGGCCAATCAATGTATTATACCACGTGGGAGGAGGAAACCGGCGCACCCGGGAAAAAAAAACACCCCACACGCGCGAGGGGGAAACGCTCTATCCCTTATGATGGAACGGGTGGGGTCCGCACCGGCCGTATTACCTTCTCAAGGCGAGCCAACGGTACAGCTCCTCCTAGATGCTCACGGGGCTAAGGGAGGGAGTTTCACAGCAACATCTTTGCGGTGATCCACCAACCCCTCGCCGCTGCCTCCACAGCGCTGCTGGATTACAGGCAGCCACGTGCAGAACATAGCCACCACTGCCAACACCCGAACGCAGGGAAAAATGCTATAGGATTATTATTATTATTATTATTGTGGATAGGCGTTCCTTGGGTACTCTAGTGGTAGTGCCTTACGATAATAATCTCCTACCTCCGGGAAATATCGAAGTTCAGCCCAGGGGCGCCTTTCTCTCGGAGTGGAGTTTGTGTGTTCTCTCTCTCTCCCCCTGTTTCTGTGTGGATTTCCTTCTCCCGCTTCTCTGGTTCCCCCCCAATAGCTAAACCCACACACCCAGGGAACTGCTCCTGGCCACAACATTCGCCATGGTGAATAGAAGACCTGAAATTCACTCCACTGGGGAATCGCAAACGCAGAGCAGCATCGGCAGCCCCCGCCCTCTGCCCCCACCGCACCTACTTGCGATAAAAAAAACATGGCAGGACCTCTTCTGCAGTAGGGGTATTGATCATTGCTGTGTGGTCTAGCCTAGGGGCACCCCCAGTGGCAGCTGTCCCTGTGTGTCAGTCTGCTGCCAGTAGGGGTATTGATCATTGCTGTGTGGTCTAGCCTAGGGGCACCCCCAGTGGCAGCTGTTCCTGTGCGTCAGTCTGCTGCCAGTAGGGGTATTGATCATTGCTGTGTGGTCTAGCCTAGGGGCACCCCCAGTGGCAGCTGTCCCTGTGCGTTCATCAGAATCTTTGAGACTGCAGCAGGTGGAATCCGATGGGCTATGAAGCTCTTTTTGTCCCAGATGCTCAGTATGGGCGGCGGGTCGGCAAGTTACACAGCAACAACAACAACGATAGCAGTGCAAACTAGAAATAAAGGTAAACAAGTCACGACATATAAATACAAAAAATGCAATCACATATGTCAGATTAATGAAGTTTGGGCAAGGCGGCAAACAAGAAAAACAACAGTCCACGACCACACCAAGACAAACAACCACACAGCAGTAGTAGTCTCCTTGATATAACTGGCGCATTAACGTTGAACTATCAATAAGTATACGGGCGGGAGTGAGGATCAAAGTTACGAATCGCATCGGCAAATGTGGCTGCTGCTGCTGCTGCTCAATCCGGCACCAATGGTTGTAGCCTGGAGACTTCTACGCGGCACAGCAGACGGGCGGAGCGAGAGTTCGCCTGTGAACGAACGCACGCCACGGTGGCTTGGGCGGGTCTCGCCCCGTAGGGTTCGCAATGGCCGTGTCACCTACGGCTGTGGATTACAGCCGTAGGTCTGGGTGTCTCTCTGTGTGTCTCTCTCTGTCTCAGCTCGTGATGGCCGTGCCAGGTTTCACAGTGGCCGTGTCTCCACTTGCGTGCCACAGCCCTGGGTCTGGGTGTCTCTCTGTGTGTGTCTCTCTCTCTGTCTCAGCTCGTGATGGCCTTGCCAGGTTTCACAGTGGCCGTGTCTCCACTTGCCTGTCACAGCCCTGGGTCTGGGTGTCTCTATCTCTCCGTCTCTGTCTCGCTGCTTGAGACACTGGCGCGCAGACGCAGCGGGCGCTCTGAGCCGGTCGCTCGGCCGCCCCCCCACCGCGGGGGTTCACGATGGCCGGGGGGCCCCGAGCGGGCGAGCGATCTGGTCACAATCAGAGCAGCGGTGGCTGCAAGCAAGTTGCTACGCTTTTATAAACGCGCGACAAACCTCGGTAGCCGAGGTTTGTCGTGAGCACGCGGCATTCGTACGTCATAAGACATTTCCATCTTGCGTCGCTTCCGGATAAGACACTTTGTTGAGCTAGCATTTTTGTGCCAGGTCGCCTTTGAAAAAGAGCTATATAGCTCACCGGGCTTCACCCTGGTAAAATAAAAATAAAAAATAGTTTATTTTCAGTGATGTACTTACCGTTTCTATACTTTGCCCTCCTGTCGTTTTTTGTTGTATTTCGTTTGTTGTTGTAACTTGTGAAAAAGAGCATCATGGCTCATCGGATTTTTCCACGGATATATATTCCAATTCTGGTGAATGCGCAGGGGCAGCTGCCGCTGGGGGTGCCCCTAGGCTAGACCGTAGAGCGACGTCGCTCCCAACTGTGAAACGACAGCAGTCCATGCTCGCCTTCGGAGTAGGTGCTACTCGCTAACAGCACTTGCCCCGCCAGTCTGAAGAAGGCTACACGAGGGACCTTTGTCTGTGTGCCGCGTGCAGCCCCATCAGCCTGCTGGGCCCGGAGCCACACGGCGCCCTCGAGGTCCAGGAGGAGGGGAGACCCGGTACGGAGCCAGCGGAGCGTGCGTGCAGAGCGTGCGTGTGGAGCGTGCGTGCGGGAGCGTGCGTGTGGAGCGTGCGTGTGGAGCGTGCTTGTGGAGCGTGCGTGTGGAGCGTGCTTGTGGAGCGTGCGTGTGGAGCGTGCGTGTGGAGCGTGCGTGTGGGAGCGTGCGTGTGGAGCGTGCTTACGGCCACGATCCGTCCGTGCCGCTCAGTCGATCGTTGTGATGGTGATGTCGATGATGCTGATGGTGCTGATGCGAATACTGATGATGCTGATGGTGCTGATGCTAATACTGATGATGCTGATGGTGCTGATGCTAATACTGATGATGCTGATGGTGCTGATGCTAATACTGATGATGCTGATGCTGCTGATGCTAATACTGATGGTGCTGACGGTGCTGATGCTAATACTGATGATGCCGCGGTGTGACGACTGCGGTGTGACGGCTGCGGTGTGACGGCTGCGGTGTGACGACTGCGGTGTGACGACTGCGGTGTGACGGCTGCGGTTTGACGACCGCGGTGTGACGGCCGCGGTGTGACGGCCGCGGTGTGACGACCGCGGTGTGACGGCCGCGGTGTGACGACCGCGGTGTGACGGCCGCGGTGTGACGACTGCGGTGTGACGACTGCGATGTGACGACTGCGGTGTGACGGCTGCGGTGTGACGGCCGCGGTGTGACGGCCGCGGTGTGACGACTGTGGTGTGACGACTGTGTGCGCCCAGCCGTGCCGTCGTCGCTGCCGCTCTCCTCCGCTCCGCGTCCGTCCAGACGGAAGCTGACGGCTCCGGACATCAGCCTCTCGCTGGACCGCGCTGACGACGACGACGACGACGACGACGACGACGACGACGAGGACCTGGAGGACGACATCCCGGACATCGACGTGGACGCGCTGGAGACGCCGGACGACGCCGAGTCGCTCGACGCCGCGGGACCCACGGGGGATCTCGAGTGGGAGGGTGAGCGGGGGAGGGGCGGCGCACTCTGTCCAAGCCACACCCCCTCCCTCTCATGCCCCCCCCCCCTCCCCCACATGCCAACCCCCTCACCCCCCTCAACTCCCGTCTCCATCCATGAAAGTATTCAAGGCCCTGATCCGTGTCCCCGCCCGCGTGTCCCCGCCCACGTGTCCCCGCCCACGTGTCCCCGCCCGCGTGTCCCCGCCCGCGTGTCCCCGCCCACGTGTCCCCGCCCACGTGTCCCCGCCAGACGACACGCCGCTGCGGAGGGCGCCGCTGCCGGAGCTGAGCGGGGCGGAGGAGCAGGAGGACGCGCTGGGCTGGCGCCGCGTGCTGCTGGGCGACACGGAGCACCGCGTGGACCTGCGCGCCGTCGAGCCCTACAAGCGCGTGCTGTCACACGGGGGTGCGGGCGGCACGGCGGCGGAGCACGCGCCGCAACACTCACGCAGCACGTGTCACAGCACGTGTCACAGCACGTGTCGCAGCGCGTGTCACCACTCGCGCAGCACGTGTCACAATACTCGCACAGCACGCGCGTGGGTGACGTGCGTGGGTGACGTGCGTGGGTGACGTGCGTGGGTGACGTGCACGTGTGACGTGCGTGTGTGACGTGCGCGTGTGACGTGCGTGTGCGACGTGCGTGGGTGACGTGCGCGTGTGACGTGCGTGTGTGACGTGCGCGTGTGACGTGCGTGTGCGACGTGCGTGGGTGACGTGCGCGTGTGACGTGCGTGTGTGACGTGCGCGTGTGACGTGCGTGTGCGACGTGCGTGGGTGACGTGCGCGTGTGACGTGCGCGTGTGACGTGCGCGTGTGACGTGCGCGTGTGACGTGCGTGGGTGACGTGCGCGTGTGACGTGCGCGTGTGACGTGCGCGTGTGACGTGCGCGTGTGACGTGCGCGTGTGACGTGCGTGGGTGACGTGCGCGTGTGACGTGCGTGTGTGACGTGCGTGTGTGACGTGCGTGTGTGACGTGCGTGGGTGACGTGCGTGGGTGACGTGCGTGTGTGCTCCAGGCTACTATGGCGATGGGCTGAACGCGATCATCGTGTTCGCTGCGTGCTACCTGCCAGACGGGAAGGACCCGGAGTACGCTTACATCATGGAGAACCTCTTCCTGTGAGCACGTGGCACGAGCACACACGTGTCTCTCTGTGTGTCTCTGTGTGTGTCTCTCTGTGTGTGTCTCTGTGTGTCTGTCTCTCTGTGTGTCTGTCTCTGTGTGTCTGTCTCTGTGTGTCTGTCTCTGTGTGTCTGTCTCTGTGTGTGTGTCTCTCTGTGTGTGTCTCTCTGTGTGTGTCTCTCTGTGTGTGTCTCTCTGTGTGTGTCTCTCTGTGTGTCTGTCTCTGTGTGTCTGTGTCTGTGTGTCTCTCTGTGCGTGTCTCTCTGTGCGTGTCTCTCTGTGCGTGTCTCTCTCTGCGTGTCTCTCTCTGCGTGTCTCTCTCTGCGTGTCTCTCTCTGCGTGTCTCTCTGTGTGTCTCTCTCTGTGTGTGTCTCTCTCTGTGTGTCTCTCTCTGTGTGTCTCTCTGTGTGTGTCTCTCTGTGTGTGTCTCTCTGTGTGTGTCTCTCTGTGTGTGTCTCTGTGTGTGTCTCTCTGTGTGTCTGTCTCTGTGTGTGTCTGTCTCTGTGTGTGTCTGTCTCTGTGTGTGTCTGTCTCTGTGTGTGTCTGTCTCTGTGTGTGTCTGTCTCTGTGCGTGTCTGTCTCTGTGCGTGTCTGTCTCTGTGCGTGTCTCTCTGTGCGTGTCTCTCTATGCGTGTCTCGCTGTGCGTGTCTCTCTGTGCGTGTCTCTCGGTGCGTGTCTCTCTGTGCGTGTCTCTCTCTGCGTGTCTCTCTCTGTGTGTGTCTCTCTCTGTGTGTGTCTCTCTCTGTGTGTGTCTCTCTCTGTGTGTGTCTCTCTCTGTGTGTGTCTCTCTGTGTGTGTGTCTCTCTGTGTGTGTGTCTCTCTCTGTGTGTCTCTCTCTGTGTGTCTCTCTCTGTGTGTGTCTCTCTCTGTGTGTGTCTCTCTCTGTGTGTGTCTCTCTCTGTGTGTGTCTCTCTCTTTGTGTGTGTCTCTCTCTGTGTGTCTCTCTCTCTGTGTGTCTCTCTCTCTGTGTGTCTCTCTCTGTGTGTGTCTCTCTCTGTGTGTGTCTCTCTCTGTGTGTGTCTCTCTCTGTGTGTCTCTCTCTCTGTGTGTCTCTCTCTCTGTGTGTCTCTCTCTGTCTGTGTGTGTGTCTCTGTGCGTGTGTGTCTCTCTGTGCGTGTGTGTCTCTCTGTGCGTGTGTGTCTCTGTGCGTGTGTGTCTCTCTGTGCGTGTGTGTCTCTCTGTGCGTGTGTGTCTCTCTGTGTGTGTCTCTGCCAGTCATCTGTCACCTGGGTCTGTCCCGTGACCTGGCACAGGCGCCGTGGTGACGTCACCGCAACTTAGTGGCGAATGGCGGTTGTTGTTGTTGTGTTTGTTTGTGTGTGTGTGGGGAGCGGTAGTGTCGCGTGTTTTAGCGCTACGCTGCGCTACGAATCCGGCAACCTGAGTTCGATTCGCGCTCACGGCAAACACCGGTGACGATTATCTGAACCTGTCCTGGGCCTCCCCTAGGTCGACTCAGCCTCAAATGAGTACCTGGTGCGGTGTGCAATAAACATCGCCACTGGGGAGACAAAGGCGGCCGGGCGTGGCGCTGGCCACCCCCACTTCCTCGTGTGCTGTGCCGGCCTTCATAGGTGCTCGCTAACAGCACTTGCCCCTACAGTCTGTTACAGGCTACACGGGGGATCTTTGCCTTGGTGTGTAGGTGTTTAGAAACGTCGACGCTAAATGGCAGTCCGAGAGCGTTTGGCGATGCTGCTGCTGCCTGCAGCTCGAACCCGACGACCCCGAGGTTCGACTCCCGCTCACGGCCACCACCAACGAGTGACAATGATCTCAACCGGTCCTGGCCCCCCCCCCCCCCCCCCCAGAGTCGACTCGGCCTCCAATGAGCGCCCCGTGCCTGGCGCAGTTCTTTAAACGTCGCCGCCGGTCGGCCCGGCGTGGTGCCGCTGGCCACCCGCACAACGCTCGTAGTGCCGGCCGCGGCCGGCGCCGTCGCCGCTCGCTCGCAGCGCTTGCCGCGGGCGGCCCGTTGAGGCTACACGGTGCGGGGGGCGGGGGGGGGGGCGGGGGGGTCAACCTTTGTCTTCGTCGTGGCTGCGTGTTGACGGGAACGAGGCGACTCGGATCCTCCCGCTCACGGCCAAACCCCCGACGCCGGTGGTGACGATCAATCCGAACGGGCCCCCCCACCCCCTCCCGCTCCGTCATCGACGCCGGCATCCAACGTGCGGGACGCGCGTCCGACGCCCGCGCCGCGGAAAGACAAAGACGGTCGGGGGGGGGGTGCCGGCGGCGGCGGTTCCGGCCACCGCCCTGGTGCGCCGCGGGCGGCGGCTTGCGGGCGGCGCGAAGGCCGCGGGGGTGAAGGGCGTTGGGGGTGTGGCCCATGTGGCCCGTGTGTGCGCAGGTACATGGTGAGCACGCTGGACCGCCTCGTGGCCGAGGACTACATGATCGTCTACCTCAACGGCGCCACGCCGCGACGGCGCACGCCGGGCCTGGGCTGGCTCAAGCGCTGCTACACCATGATCGACCGCAGGTGCGCGCGGGGGGCACGGGGGGCACGGGGGGCACGGGGGGCACTGGTAGCGTGTGGGTAGCACGGATAGCGTGGGCAGTCGTAGCCGTGTTCTATCCACTGCTGCACGAACACCGGCCACCCCGAGCCGCTTGCCGCGTTGCCGCGGGCGTTGACCGGAGCCGTCCCCGCGGGGTTCCCAACCTCGCTCGCCGCTCGGGCCGCGTCGCCACCCGGGACGGTCCGAGATGACGGCGACGGTGGGAGGCCACGGGAGACGACGAGAGATGACGACGACGACGACGACGAGGATGCGAGGAGGGATGCATGGGGGTGCCGCTCCCCGTGACACCACCAACCACCCCCCCCCCACCCCCATCCCCAGGCTGCGGAAGAACCTCAAGGCGCTGGTCATCGTCCACCCGTCGTTCTTTGTGAGGACCCTGCTGGCGTTGACGAGGCCCTTCATCAGGTGAGGTCACGGTCGAGGTCACGGTCGAGGTCACGGTCGAGGTCACGGTCGAGGTCACGGTTGAGGTCGGCACGCGGCCGGTTGCCGGCACTTGCCCCCCAGTGGTCGGTGTGGGCTACACGGAGGGGGACCTTTGCCTTTGTGTGCGCGCAGCTCCAAGTTCAGCCGCAAGGTCCGCTACGTGCACTCGCTGGCGGAGCTCGCGGAGGTCATCCCCATGGAGCACGTGTCCATCCCGGACTGCATCCAGCAGTGAGGCACTCGCATGGACACGCACGGGCAGACACTCACGGGCACGCACGCACGGGCATGCACGCACGGGCACGCACGCACCCACGGGCACGCACGGGCACGCACGGGCACGCACGGGCACGCACGGGCACGCACGCACGGGCACGTACAGACACGCACAGACACACGCACACACGTGCACGCCCGTGGACTGCGATCCACGTGTCGACCTCCCCTGCTCTGACCTCCTGCACGATTTAGCAAACGGTTTACCCACCGACTCGATGGACCCCCCTGCTCTCTCTCTCTCTTCGTCTCTCTCGGTCTGTCTCTCCCTGTTGATTATTGTCACACTGGCTCTCTCTCTCTCTCTTTGTACCTCTCTCCCTTCACCGCCTGCATCTCCTCCCCCCTCTTCCTTCCCCCTCCTCCTTCCCCTCCTCTTCCTTCCCCCTCCTCCTACTCTCTCTCTCTCCTCCCCTTCCTCCCCTTCCTCCCCTTCCTCCCCTTCCTCCCCTTCCTCTCTCCTCTCTCCTCCCTCCTCCTCCCTCCCCCTCTCTCCTCCTGTCTCTCCTCCCTCCCTCCTCTCCATCCCCCTCCTCCCTCCCCCTCTCTCCTCCTGTCTCTCCTCCCTCCCTCCTCTCCATCCCCCTCCTCCCTCCCCCTCCCTCCCCCTCCCTTTCCTCCCTCCCCTCCTCTCCTCCCTCCTCCTCCTCCTCCGTGCTCTCAGAGTGGACGAGGAGCTGCTGCTCGCCGCGGCCGAGGCTCGGTACGTCGTCGCGTCGCGAGCCGGTGCCGCTGTTGGCGGCCGTGGCCCCGCGCCGAGTCACGTGCCGTGTCGTGCCCCCCTCCTCCGCCCGACGTGACCCAATTCGCAGAGCCTGCAACTCGGCCAATGCATCGCTGCAGCAGCGGCAGCCGCAGTGATGATGATGATGATGCGATCTGCGCAGTCATTGGCAGCTGTTTTGGGGGGGTATTTGGGTGCCACGGTGGCTATAAGATGTTGACTACCTCGCCTGATATGCAGGAGGTCGTGGGTTCGATCCTGACCCTAACCCCTGCTGCTGTATATTTGGAGTTTGCGGTGTCTCTCATCATCATCACGGTGGCTATGAGATGTTAACTACCTCGCCAGGTGTACAGGAGGTCGTGGGTTCGATCCTGACCCTGACGCCTGCTGCTGCTGTATATTTGGAGTTTGCGTGTCTATCTCTCATCATCATTACGGTGGCTATGAGATGTTACCTACCTCGCCTGGTATACAGGAGGTCGTGGGCCTTACCTGGTAAAATGAAACATAGTTTAGTTTAAATAGTTAGTAAATAGTCCACGTGTGTTGTGCGCGTATTTGGTGTGGTGGACTCTGCTTAAAATGAATCCCCGGTACGATGTGCAGTAAACATCACTCTAGAGCATCGGTGCGGGAACCCTTTTTTCTGCCCAGGGCCATTTGGATCATTTATAACATCATTCGCGGGCCATACAAAATTTAATTTATGTTGCTATAAAAAAAGCTCCTAGATTTATTGAATTTCGAGTCGTGCCGTTGCCTTGGCAGGGCCACACCAAATTATTTTGCGGGCCTTACACGGCCCGCGGGCCAGACGTTCCCCACCCCTGCCCTAGAGGGAGACAAAGGCGGCCGGGCGTGGTGCTGGCCACCCACCCCCTCGTGCGCCGTTCCCGGCCTTCATAGGTGCTGCTCCCTAACGGCACTTGCCCCAGCAGTCTAAGCAGGCTATACGGGGGGGGGGATCTTTGTCTTTGTGTGCGTGTCTTGTGAAAATGGGCTCTTATTCCCCCACAAACTTTAAGTTCGTGGGGGAATAATAGCCCAATAATAGCCCATTTTTCTGTACTTTAGAGGCATTAAGCAATTGGAAACTAAGACTTGCTACCCAGGGACGAAAATCGTGTTGTTTTTGTTTTACATAGCGTACTAGTATAATGCACGCATTGTCTTTTTAAAGTGATTGGCCTACACCAGAAACGGTAGCCTTCGGCATGGCCTCGTCTCCACCAGTGTCAGACCAGAGAACGGCAAAAGGACACTGCCACACGTTTCAGTTTTCACTTTAATTTATTAGGTGCTAGCTGTACTACGCGGCTTCGCCCGGGACTTGGATTCGCCACGCCCGGCCGCCTTTGTTCCCCCCCCAGTGGCTATGTTCACACACCACAGCAGTTACTCGTTTGAGGCCGAGTCGACCTAAGGGAGGCCCAGCACCGGTTAAAATAATCGTCACCGGTGGTGGGCGTGAGCGGGAATCGAACTCGCGTCGCCGGGTTCGTAGCGCGGCGTGGAGCTAACCACGGCACCACCGCTCCCCCCACACAAAGACAAAGATCCCCCGTATAGACTGTAGGGGCAAGTGCTGTTAGCGAGCACCTATGAAGGCCAGAACGGTACCCGAGGGGGGTGGGTGGCCAGCACCACGCCCGACCGCCTTTGTCTCCCCAGTGGTGGCCGTGAGCGGGAATCGAACTCGGGTCGCCGGGGTTCGTAGCGCGGCGCGCTAACCGCTACACTACAATGCGTTACGTTTCCACGTGCGCGGGTCACGTGACAGATGTGACGTCACAGCTCACTTGCCGTGCAAAAGAAATATGCATTATTGAGCTCCCCTCCCCCCCCCCCCCCAAAAAAAAAAACCCGCGTATTTTTATAATGTTTGCATGGTGTACAGTCTGGAAAGTACCCACATGGCAAATTTCAAGTTTGTTGCATGTCGGGAAGTACGCTAAACATTTTGAACAGACAACACATATTCACATCTTTGCCTTTTATATATATGGAGATAGCCCTGTGAGCCACGCGGCTCTTGACTCGGGTGCAACCGCAAAACAAAACAAAAACATGAACAAGAAAAACATCTTAAAGTGACTACGGGCAACAGGAAAATCCAAGGAAAAACGGCCAAGGTGCATTTATAGCTTGGGGTCTCCAGCTATAAATATGGAGATGTTGAAACTCTTTTACACCTTACAAAGCCAACCACGCCAATCGGAGGTGCCGGCCACCCACCCTCCTGGCTACTTTGATACGTGCTCGCTCACAGCACTTATCCCAAAAGTCTGTACAGGCTACATGGGGGACCTTTGTCTTTGCGTGTGTGTCTGTGTGTCTGTCTGTCTGTCTGCTCCAGGGAGGAATTGGACATGCAAAGAAGACAGCATGAATCTGACAACACCCCGTGGTACACATGAACACACGCACATGAACCAAGACATACACACACACATACTCAAACACAACAACAACAACCGCCATTTGCCACTAAATGGCAGTGACGTCACCGCGGCGCTTGTGCCAGGCTATGTGCACACAAACACGCAGATAAACACGCATACATAAACGCGCACAAACACGGATACCAACACACAAAGACAAAGATTCCCCCGTATAACATCACCAGACTGCTGGGGCAAGTGCTGTTAGCGAGCAGCACCTATGAAGGCCAGCACTGCACACGAGGGGATGGGGTGGCCAGCACCACGCCCGGCCGCCTTTGTCTCCCCAGTGGTGATGTTTAAACACCGCAACAGGTACTCGTTTGAGGCTGAGTTGACCTAGGGGAGACCCAGGACCGGTTCACATAATCGTCACTGGTGTTGGTGCACATAAACACACACGCACAGATACAAACAAAGACACGGATACACACACATACAGACGGATACACAGACACACACACACAGATGGATACACAGACACACACACACAGATGGATACACAGACACACACACACAGATGGATACACAGACACACACACACACACAGATGGATACACAGACACACACACACAGATGGATACACAGACAAACACACACAGACGGATACACAGACACACACACACACTGACACACATTCCATCGAAAGAAGATTACTCATGCCACACGGCACAGGAGGAGGGCTCCGCTTGGGGCGACTCGCTCGGCTCAGGGCGACTCGCTCGGGGCGACTCGCTCGGCTCGGGGCGACTCGCTCGGCTCGGGGCGACTCGCTCGGCTCGGGGCGACTCGCTCGGCTCGGGGCGACTCGCTCGGGGCGACTCGCTGGGCTCGGGGCGACTCGCCCCGCACGGCGAGTACCCGCGGGGTCGCGTCCGAGCTCTCTCCACCTTCGATCGGAGCGGGGGTTCAAGCGGGGAGCCGTGCCGCTGTTGGGCTCCGTAAGACAATCACGTGGGGGGGTCAGGGGTCAGGGGATCGCACCCTCGGCAATAATGGCACGGCGAGTGTGGGCACGTGTGTGTGTGTGTGTGCGTACGGATGCGTGCGTGTGTAAGTGCACGGACACGCACTGACACTCGCGCGCGTGCGTTTTAACTCTGTGGTTCCCACGCTCTCTTTGGGGTTGGGGGGGGGGAGGGGGTGGTGGGGGCGGCTTTGGGTAGGGAGATCTGCAGGGTTCGGGGTGTCCGTGCGTTTGACCAAAACCAAAGTGATGATCCCCCTCCCACCCACCGCTCTGAACCCAGTCGGGGGGGGTTAAAGCACAAAGGTCAGAAGGTCAACGCGGGGGCGGTGGGGGCGGGGGGGGGCGGGGGAGGGGGGAGGGGCAGCACTCCGTCTCTCTCTCCTGATCACAGCCCCTCGCCCGGCTAGCGGTGGAAATTCCACATTCCCGCGGCGGAGGGCCAAGTCCAGCCGCGTGGGGTTCGTTTCCGGTCATCGGCAAGTGGCGGCGGCGGCTGTCTCCCTTGAGCGGCGGAAACCCTCGTCACCAAAGTGCACCGGGGTGGGAGGGGGGTGATGGCGGCGCGACCACCCTCGTCACCCCGGGGGGGGGGGGGGGGGGGGGGTTTGCGCTCCGCGATCTCGACGGCTGTGAGCCTGGACGATGGCGCTTGGGCAGCGAAAGGGGGGGGGGGGCGGGGGCGGGGGCGGGGGCTCCCGTCGTCAGCGGTTTCGGCAGCGCGGCCGCAGCCACCTATGGTCGTCCCGCGTCGTGCCACGGGGCCTTCGAGCGAACCACCGCGCTGAGCAGCGTGGCGGAGTTATGGTCCAGGAAGCCGCCACCGCTGCCGCCGCCGGCACGGTCTGGGCAGTGGATATTGAGCCCCCACCCCCCCCCCCCCCGTTCCCTTTGTGGTCGTTTTGGGAGCTCGCGGCCGAGGATTTTCACCCGGGGGGGGAGGGGTGAGGGAGGGAGTGAGGGGGGGGGGAGTGAGGGAGGGAGTGAGGTCTGCATCGTGATTGGGGGGGGGGGGGGTGAGGGAGGGAGGGAGTGAGAGGTCTGCATCGTGATTGGTGGGGTGGGGGAGACGATTGCACTCTGCACAGACAAGAGTCACTCTGACCATCACCTTCATCATCCCTATAGCACCTTAAAATACATTTTAGCCTGCTGCTGCTGCTGGTGGTGGTGGTGGTGGCCACTCTGCACGTGGCCTCAGGTAGTCCAGCACTGTTGTGGAGGCATCGGCGAAATGTGTTTGTGGATCACCACACACACACACCCACCAATGTTGTTGTGAAACTCCCTTCCTCCGCCGTGGGTGGGCGTCGAGGGGGAGCCGCACCCCCTGGCTGTGCCGGGAGGAGGCGGTTACGGTAGAGTCTGTGGACTAATCTCCATCTGTTCCACACTCCCTCCCTTCTTGTGAGGTGAGGGTTTGAGGAGGAACCATACCCCCCTCCCCCCCCCCCCCCCGACTTTGCCAGGCGAAGGCAGTTACAGCAAAAACGTGGACTCCACCCGTTTCCGTTTATGCGGGATCGAGCGTTTCCCCCTCGCACGCGTATGTTTTCCCCCCCAAGGTCCTCTCGATTTCCTCCTCCCGCATCTTCTAAAAGCGTTCACCGGTGTTACATTTAGAAATTATTCCATTGTCCAGATACATCGAGGATTTGTAGCCGCCGATCGTTCGTAAATGGGTTGACAAAGGGAATGTAAATTAATTTATTTTAAATATTAATCGTCCGCGTGTAGCGCGTGCTGGTATTGTGCATCCCCTGGACGACGGGGAACGTGTGTGCGTGTAGAACTCGCACCGTGCGTAGCCAACCGTGCTAATCGGAGATGTGCTCGACGTTGGGGGGGGGGGAGTTAAGGACGACAAACTAAACACACGCTCAGCAGTCTGGGAGAAATGAGCTTTCAACTTAAATGTTGATGATGTTTTAATAACGACGACGATGTTGCTGTGAACTTTGAAACGTCGAGTCATTGAGCGCCACCGGCTCCCTTGTTGTGCGACTCGTGACCCCCCCCCCCCGCCCGCCCCCCTCCCATCTCTCTCTTTCTCCGCCCACTCCACGTTCTTCGCCGGGAGCTCGAGTCGCGCTCGCCAACTTTGCTTTTGCTTTGCCGCGAATCGCTCCCCTCCCCCCCTTGTGTGCGTGCCGCGGATGTAGATAGCCGTTGCGGGAGCGACGTCTCGCGAACCTCGTCCGTTCGCTTTTACCATTCAAGCACTTTCCTTAAATAAATAAAAAATAAAATGTTTTTAATGAAATGTAGAGGGAGACGTTGGTTGGTTGCTGAAGAACTCGTCAACCTGATGCGGGCTGGCAAGGGCGCGTTCCCAGGTCCCTCGTTCCGACCGTGCCGCCGAGGTCTGACGTTTCGGCCACACCACCCAGGTCCCTCGTTTCGACCGCGCCACTCCAGGTCTGACGTTTCGGCCACACCACCTGGATCCCCTCGTGGCGGCCACTCCCGTTCCGACCGTGCCACCCGGCTCTTTATCATGATGCCTTTCCCCGAACCTGGGGGGGGGGTGCACGTGGCTGACATCGTCACCGTTGTCCGCGCGGCGACGTTTTGACAAATTCATGAATTGATGAGTGAATGTGTAAATCGATCCTGGGGAAGAGAGGAAAAAACAATCGTAAAACGACGTGAAATTGTCTTTAAAAGTCGGACAACTCCAATCAACTACGGGTCATGCCACACCTGTTTGTAAAAAAAAAGATTCTTGAATTGTTTGAACCCAAAACTCATCCAAGCTACTAGTTGAGCGTGATAACCGTTACGACAGTGTAGTGGCTTTTAAAACGTAGGGCTTGTGTTCAAGTTTATAGGTTTACCGCTTCACTACCAAGCGGGCCCAACGGAGACAACAAAGACAAAGATCCCCCGTGTAGCCTTAGACTGTAGGGGGCAAGTGCTGTTCGCGAGCAGCAGCACGCGGCATATGATGGTGTGGGTGGCCAGCAACCACGCCCGTGCGCCGCCTTTGTCTCCCTGGTGGCAATCTTTTAACAGACACCAGACACTCGTATTCTTTGGGTCTTTCGGTGAATTCACGTAGACAAAGAAAATAACTACGATTTTTTTTAATGACGAAACGTCGTTATTTTTTTGTTATTTTTATTATTTTATTCGAACCTATCTACGTGAATTTACCGAAAGACTCGAAGAATATGGATTCCTGCAGTCACGAAAGCTTTAAGTCAAGGCCAAGACACTCATTTGATGCCGAGTCGACCGAGGGGGTTGGCCCAGGAACGTGTTTCAGCAAATCGTCACCGGTGTTTGGCGGTAGCCGTGAGCGGGAATGGAGCTCTGGGGAGCGGTGGTGGCCCGAATTTGCGCTGCCAATGGGGGGGGGGCCCACGATTTAAAATGTAAACGCTTCAAATCAGATATTCTATGGGTCTTTCGGAAAAGCCACGTAGATAGAAAAATAATAATAAAAATATCAACGACGTTTCGATCGCAACTCCAAAAGACCCATAGAATGTGTATTCCTGCAGCCGCGAACGCTTTAAGTATAAAGGCTTTAAATTTTTGATTTAAAGCTTTCGTGACTGCAGTAATTCATATTCTTAGCTCTTTCGGTAAAGTCACGTTGAAGGAAAACAATAAAAAAGATATAAATAATAAAACAAATTTTGGTATTCTATTGTTTCCCTTCAACGTGACTTTACCGAAAGAGCTAAGAATATGCTTTAAATTTTATTTGACCTGGCGAAGGCCCCGCTGAGCTGTTATATAGCTCTTGTTTTTTCTCAGGAGCGACTCGGCCATCACAAATGATGGCTTCTCAATGTCACTATCATCACGTGGAAATTGACAGCAGCAGCAGCAGCAGCATCCGAATCCTCTTAAACGCGGGGGGACACGGAGACACTGCAAACTCCAAACATACAGCAGTAGGCATTGTCAGGGTCTGCATCCAAACCCACGACATCCTGCATACCAGGCGAGGTAGTTAACATCTCCTAGCCACCGTGATGATGATGAGAGAGAGAGAGACGCAAACTCCAAATACACAGCAGTAGGCATTGTCAGGGTCATCGAAACCCACGACCTCCTGTAGACCAGGCGAGGGAGTTAATATCTCCTAGCCACCGTGATGATGATGAGAGAGAGACACCGCAAACTCCAAATATACAGCAGTAGGCATT